GACCACAGTGCAATCAAATTAGAAGTCAGGATAAAGAAACTAACTCAGGACTGCACAACTTCATGGAAACTGAACAACTGGCTCTTGAATATTAACTGGATAAACAACAAAATGAAGGCAGAAATAAAGAATTTCTTCTAAACCAACAAAAACTAAGACACACAGAATCTCTGGGACACATTTAAAGCAGTGGCTAGAGGGAAATTTATAGCAATAACTCCATGAGAAATGAGGAAATATCTAAAATGGACACTCTATCATCAAAATTGAAAGAGCTAAAGGAGCAAAATCAAAAAAACTCAAAAGCTAACAGAAGACAAGAAATAACTAAGATCAGAGCAGAACTGAAGGAGATAGAGACACAAAAAAACCCTTCAAAAAATCAATAAATCCAGGAGCTGGTTTTAAAAAGATCAACAAAATAGACTGCTAGTCAGATTAATAAAAAAGAAAAGAGAGAAGAATCAAATAGATGCAATAAAAAGCAATAAAGAGGATATCACCACCAATTCCACAGAAATACAAACTACCATCAGAGATTACTACAAACAACTCTATGCACACAAAGCAGTAAACCTGGAAGAAATGGAAAATTCCTGGACACTTGCACCCTTCCAAGCCTAAACCAGGAAGAATTTGAAACCCTAAATAGACCAATAACAAGGACAGTAGTTGAGGCAGCAATTAATAGCCTACCAACCAAAAATAGCCCAGGTCCAGATGGGTTCACAGCCAAATTCTACCAGACATACAAAAGTGAGCTGGTACCACTCCTTCTGAAACTATTCCAAACAATATAAAAAGAGGGAATCCTTCCCAAATCAGTTTGAGACCAACATCATCCTGATACCAAAACCCGGCAGAGACTCGACAAAAAAAAGAAAACTTCAGGCAAATATCCATGATGAACACAGATGCAAAAATCTTCAATAAAATACTGGCAAACTGATTGCAACAGCACATCAAAAAGCTTATCCATCATGATCAAGTAGCCTTCATACTGAGGATGCAAGACTGGTTCAACATATGCAAGCCTATAAACGTAATCCACCACATAAACAGAACCAAAGACAAAAACCACATGATTATCTCAATAGGTGCAGAGAAGGCCTTCCACAAAATTCAACAGCCCTTTATGCTAAAAACTCTCAATAAACTAACTATCAATGAATATATCTCAAAATAATAGAAGCTATTTACGACAAACCCACAGACAGTATCATACTGAATGGGCAAAAAATGGAAGCATTCCCTTTGAAATTTGGCACAAGACAAGGATGCCCTCTCTCACCATTCCTATTCAATATAGCATTGGAAGTTCTAGCCAGAGCAATCAGGCAAGAAAAGGAAATAAAGGGTATTCAATTAGGAAAGAAGGAAGTGAAATTGTCTCTATTTGCAGATGACATGATTGTATATTTGGAAGACTCCACCATCTCAACCCAAAATCTCCTGAAACTAATAAGCAACTTCAGCAAATCTCAGAATACAAAATCAATGTGCAGAAATCATAAGCATTCCTATACGCCAATAATAGATTTACAAAGAGCCAAATCAAGAATGAACTGCCATTCACAATTGCTACAAAGAGGATAAAATACCTAGGAATACAACTAACAAAGGACATGAAGGACCTCTTCAAGGAGAACTACAAACCACTGTTCAAGGAAATAAGACAGGACACAAACAGATGGAAAAACATTCCATGCTTATGGTTAGAAATAATCAATATTGTGAAAATGGCCATACTGCCCAAAGTAACTTATAGATTCAACGCTACCCTCATCAAGCTACTCATGACCCTCCTCACAGAACTGGAAAAAAACACCTTAAACTTCATATGGAACCAAAAGAGAGCCCACATAGCCAAGACAATTCTAAGCAAAAAGAACAAAGCTGGAGGCATCATGCTACCTGACTTCAAACTATACTACAAGGCTACAGTAATCAAAACAGCATGGTACTGGTACCAAAGCAGAGATACAGACCAATGGAACACAACAGGGGTCTCGGAGGCAACTACACACATCTACAACCATCTGATCTTTGACAAATCTGACAAAAACAAGCAATGGGAAAGGATTCCCTGTTTAATAAATGGTGTTGGGAAAACTGGCTTGCCATGTGCAGAAAGCAGAAACTGGATCCCTTTCTGACACCTTACACTAAAATTAACTCCAAATGGAATAAGGACTTAAACATAAGACCTAACACCGTAAAAACTCTAGAAGAAAACATACGCAAAACCATTCAGTACATAGGCATAGGCAAGGACTTCGTGACTAAAACACCAAAGCATTGGCAGCAAAAGCCAAAATAGATAAATGGGATGTAATTAAACTCCAGCGCTTCTGTACAGCAAAAGAAACCGTCATTAGAGTGAATCAGCAACCAATAGAATGGGAAAAAATTTTTGCAATCTACCCATCTGACAAAGGGCTAATATCCATAACCTACAAAGAACTAAAACAGATATACAAGAAAAAAACAAACAACCCATTCAAAAGTAGGCAAAGGATATGAACAGACACTTTTCAAAAGAGGACATATATAAGGCCAACAAACATGAAAAAATGCTCATCACTTGTCATTAGAGAAATGCAAATCAAAACCACATTGAGATACCATCTCACATCAGTTAGAATGGTGATCATTAAAAAATTTGGAGACAGCAGATGCTGGAGAGGGTGTGGAGAAATAGGAATGCTTTTACACTGTTGGTGGGAGTGTAAATTAGTTCAACCATTGTGGAAGACAGTGTGGTGATTCCTCAAGGACTTAGAAATAGAAATTCCATTTGACCCAGCAATCCCACTACTGGGTATATATCCAAAGGGTTATAAATCATTCTATTATAAATACACATGCAGATGTATGTTCATTGCAGCAGAGTTTACTATAGCAAAGACTCAGAACCAACCCAAATGCCCATCAATGATAGACTGGACAGGGAAAATGTGGCACATATACACCATGGAATACTATGCAGCCATAAAAAATGATGAGTTCGTGTCCTTTGTAGGGACATGGATGAATCTGTAAACCATCATTCTCAGCAAACTGACACAAGAACAGAAAAACAAACACTGCATGTTCTCACTCATAGGTGGGTGTTGAACAATGACAACACATGGACACAGGGAGGGGAGCCTCACACACTGGGGTCTTTTGAGAGGGAATAGGGGAGAGACAGTGGGGGCTATGGAGGTTGGGGAGGGATAACGTGGGGAGAAATACCAGATATAGGTGACGGGGGGATGGAGGCAACAACCCACATTGCCATGTATGTATCTACGCAACAATCCTGCATGTTTTGCACATGTACCCCAGAACCTAAAGTGCAATAAAATATACGTATTAAAAAAAAAGAAACTTGGAAATTCTTAACCTTAAGGTGAGCATCAAGACCACTGCTGCTCTTCAAATAGACAAGAGTGGGACACGTAATACATAAGCCTGACCCAGTGTGGCAGTTGCTGTGTCCTAGTTTAAACATATTCAAAGGGAAGTAACAACAGGTCTTGGAAACTCCTGGCTCCAACTAGTGCAATATGAACTGGTTTTTCTGTGAAGACAGAGCACTATACAATAATAAAATCATGTGTATGAGAGGTAGAGATAATTACATATTATCACTCCTGGTTGCGCCCGTCAGCCTGGCATGTGGCACAACCAGTTCCTGGAAACTGCTCATCAACTGAATCAGATTAGAATCTTCCTTCCTCCTAAATGCACAAAGACCTACTTCCAACCTTATGTTTGAAATGCGGAACATTCGTTTGTGAGATACAAACCCTTCTCAGAAAGACCATGTACCAATACACATTTGCCATGAGTGAATGCTGCCCCTTTCAGTATTTCTTCATTGAAGTTGTCTGGTGTACTGTAAGAGGAATCTGCCTCAAAAGCTATGCAGTTTCAAAATGCCCCTTTCTCTGGTGTCTCAAAATGTTCACACCTTGGGGTAATATACTTTGGTCATATGTGTGATAAATGGGAGGCATGCTTTTCTTGTGTCAAGTGGGAGAAGGACAATTATGAAGGGGGAAAGCAGATTAATTTTAGAAGACAGTATATGTAAGGAAGCTGTGGGTCTGGAAAATAATTCACTTAAAATTATCCATGCCCAATACCCTACCTACAAATTCCTAAGTAAACTCAGGTGTACGGATATCCCAGTTCGAAGACCACTGCTTTAGTCTGCCTCCATTCATTCATAGATACAGAAACTAAAGCCCAGGGCAGTGGCCATCCAAGACTAGAACCTGTTTTCCAACTTGCAGATTAACAGGTTTCAACTCTACCAAACTGCTTTTTATTGTGACCTTGAATATATCTTATTTGAGGCTTGATTTTTTTCATCTGCAAAATGAGAGAAGTAGACTAGATCATCTTCATGCTGGATACCTTACCTTCATTTCTCCAGATCTACTCTCCAGTCTTCTCCACTCTGCTCTGGGCACTAGAAGTAGACATGTTTAAACTGTATCAATGGGCTCCCTCGTCCTGTGGCTTCTGATTGGGTGCAGTTAATGGAGGCCCTGGCAAGAGCATGGAAGGCAAAAAAGAAATAAAACTGGATCTTTTTTTTTTTTGAGACAAAGTCTGTCGCCCAGGCTGGAGTGCAGTGGTGTGATCTCGGCTCAGTGCAATCTCTGCCTCCTGGGATCAAGTGATTCTCCCGCCTCGGCCTCCTGAATAGTTGGGATTACAGGCACGTGCCAGCATGCCCAGCTAATATTTGTATTTTTAGTAAAGACAGGGTTTCACCATGTTGGTCAGGCTGGTCTCAAACTCCAGACCTCGTGATCCACCTGCCTTGGCCTCCCAAAGTGCTGGGGTTATGGACCATTCATTTACCTGCTCCAGCTGCTTGGTTACTGTGAGTTGCTCATGTCCTGCCCCTGAAAGCCATGAATCCTGCCCAGTATTCTTTTCATTCAGCTAACCTCTCTGGGTTCCAGTAACTTCTCCCTCCTCTCTCTCATTCAGGCATAGAAGTGACATTTTCCTAGAAAATTCCATTCCACTGGATCCACCCTGAATCTTCCACCCACCTACTGCTCCACCATTTCCCTGTTTAGATTGAATCTTGTCTCCAGGAAAAGAGAGGGCCAGAGGCAACTCAACATTCTCAATATCCTTCCTTAATCCCATTAAAGGATTCTGAAAGGAAAAATAAATGATGCCACTCTAAATATATCTTTAAAATCTGGGTCCAGTTAAAAAATCAAAGCTCCTTTCCGCGCTACCTGCCGAGGGCTCCAAACAGCGTTGATCTGGATTCCCGTCGTAACTTAAAGGGAAACTTTCACAATGTCTGGAACCCTTGATGTCCTGCAAATAAAGGAGGAGGATGTCCTTAAGTTCCTGGCAGCAGGAACCCATTTAGGTGGCACCAACCTTGACTTCCAGATGGAACAGTATATCTATAAAAGGAAAAGTGATGGCATCTACATCATAAATCTGAAGAGGACCTGGGAGAAGCTTCTCCTGGCAGCTCGTGCCATTGTTGCCATTGAAAACCCTGCTGATGTCAGTGTTATATCCTTCAGGAATACTGGCCAGAGGGCCATGCTGAAGTTTGCTGCTGCCACTGGAGCCACTCCAATTGCTGGCAGCTTTACTCCTGGAACCTTCACCAACAGATCCAGGCAGCCTTCCGGGAGCCACGGCTGCTTGTGGTCACTGACCCAAGGGCTGACCACCAGCCTCTCATGGAGGCGTCTTATGTCAACCTACCTACCATTGCTTTGTGTAACACAGATTCTCCTCTGCGCTATGTGGACATTGCCATCCCATGCAACAACAAGGGAGCTCAGTCAGTGGGTTTGATGTGGTGGATGCTGGCTCGGGAAGTTTTGCTCATACGTGACACCATTTCCCGTGAACACCTGTGGGAGGTCATGCCTGATCTCTACTTCTACAGAGATCCTGAAGAGATTGAAAAAGAAGAGCAGGCTGCTGCTGAAAAGGCTGTGACCAAGGAGGAATTTCAGGGAGAATGGATTGCTCCAGCTCCTGAGTTCGCTGCTACTCAGCCTGAGGTTGCTGACTGGTCTGAAGGCGTGCAGTTGCCCTCTGTGCCTATCCAGCAGTTCCCTACTGAAGACTGGAGCACCCAGCCTGCCACGGAAGACTAGTCTGCAGCTCCCACTGCTCAGGCCACTGAATGGGTAGGAGCAACCACTGGATGGTCTTAAGCTGTTCTTGTGTGGCCTCTTAAACAACATACAAGATTCATGGAAAATAAACAACGAGTTTCTAAAAAAAAAAATCAAAGCAAGTAAAATAAAAAAATATTTAAGTGAGAGAAGACTTCTTTATGTTTTCAAATTTTTATTTTGGTGAAAAATTTTAGACATAGAGAAAAGTTGCAGAGCAATACAGAGATTTCACATACCTATTGTCCAGCTTCCTCTAATATTAACATCCTACTACCACTGTGCAATGAGCAAAACCAGGAAGTTAGTATTGGGATAATTCTCTTAACTAATCTGCAGACCTTGTCCAAATGTTACCGTTGTCCCACTGATGTCCTCACTGGTCTAAGGTCAAACTGGCACGTCTCCGTAGTCCTCTCCAATCTGTGATGGTTTCTCAGTCAGTCTTTTATTACCTTGACACTTTTGAAGAGTACTAGTCAATTATTTTGTAGAATGTCTCTCAATTTATGCTTGTCTGATGTTTTCTTATGGTTAGATTGAGGTTACGCATTTTGAGCAAGATTATCATGGAAGTGATGTTATGCCCTTCTCAGTGCATCATGTTAAGAATCCCTGATGTCAATACGGCATTACTGGTGAAGTTAATTTTGGTCACTTGATTCTGTGTTAGTTAACAGGTTTCATCTCTATACGGCTACTGCTTTTCCCTAAAAGCACCTTATGGGGAGATAATTTGAGATCAAGCAAATACCCTGTTTCTTAACAGGACTTCTCTCACTACTGTTAGTGTATATTGATACCTGTCTTTGCTAATAGTGACTTTCTATTTCCATCATTCCTTCTATATTTATTAAAGAGCAGCTGGCCCTTCACTTCATTTATTTATTTACTTATTCAATTACTTATCTTTATGTCAGTATGGACTCAGGAACATGCATTTTATTTTCTGGGTTTCCATTACTATGATTATCCATTTTTAGCACAGCTTGTCCCAAATTTTACTGGGACCTCCTTCAATATGACTCCTGTGTCATTTTGACATACTCCATCATGTTTTAGTACTTCCTTAGTTTCTGGCAACACAAAACATTCAGGCTCGTCTTATATATTTCCTGGAATTGATTATTTCTCCAAAGAACACTTTACTTATTTGCTCAATCCTAATATGTACATAAAGTAGTCTCAGAGTTACTAACCCATACCTCTGTCTGTGAAAACAAATTTACTAACTAGAGTATACGTTTTTGTAGTTCTTTATGTCTTTAACTTTATATTGTACAGTCAAAACACTGTTTTCCAAAGATAGCTGGTTCTTCCCCAGCTCTTTAATTATAGTCATGATGTTCATTTGTAATATAGTTAGATCCACTTGTTACTCTTTGTATTCTAATTGGGGTCCTCTCACATCCTGTAGATTATAATTATTTGGACAGAGTAGGAGTCACTATGTGATTGATTACCTGATTCTAAGGGTCAGAGCTATACATAAAGTATATCAAGTCGATGTCACCCCCCAACCACTACCCCATTCCACTTCTTCCTTCTTTCCATCTCATTCTCAGATCCTAAATAACCAAATTTCATACGACATCTTTCTTTTAAAAAGTTATTTTGCACAAATGAGCAGATACACGTGTATTTTGTCTCTTTTTATTCTTCCATGAAAAGCAGCACACTATCAATCTTCTCTCTCTTTTGAGGTTCTGTTTGCATAACATAAAATTAACCATTTTAAAGTGTACAATTCAGGCTGGGTGCAGTGGCTCATGCCTAAAATCCCAGCACTTTGGGAGGCCAAGGCAGGTGAGTCACTTGAGGCCAGGAGTTCGAGACTAGCCTGGTCAACATGGTAAAACCCTATCTCTACTAAAAATAAAAAAAAAATTAGTCATAGTGGCACACACCTATAGTACAGCTACTTGGGAGACTGAGGCACTAGAATTGCTTAAAACCGGGAGGCAGAGGTTGTAGTGAACTGAGATTGCACTTCTGCACTCCAGCCAGGTAACAGAGGGAGACCCTGTCTCAAAAAATACATAATAAAATAAGGAAGTATACAATTTGGTAGCATTTAGCACATTCTCAATATTCTCCAACCTCATGTCTCTCTAGTTCCACAACTAGAACTAGAGAGTTCTAGATGTTTTCATCATCTCAAAAGAATCCCCCATATTTATCAAGTAATTACTCTCCATTTCCTACTACCTATAACACGTGGCTGTCAGGTCAATGTCACTCCCCAACCACTTCCCCATTCCACTTCTTCCTTCTATCTCATTCTCAAACCTTAAATAACTAAATCTCACACTGCATCTATTCTTTTAAAAAGTTATTTTGCACAAATGAGCAGATACATGTATATTTTGTCTCCCTTTTTATTTTTCCATGAAAAGTAGCAGACTATGGATGTTCTCTCTCTTTTGAGGTTCTGTTTGCATAACATAAAATTAACCATTTTCAAGTGTACAATTCAGGCTTGGCATGGTGGCTCATGCCTGTATTTCCACCTAAGTTTGGAAAACAGTATTTTGACTGTTCAATATAAAGCTAAAGACATAAAGAACTACAAAAACATATACTCTAGTTAGTAAATTTGTTTTCACAGACAGAGGTATGGGTTAGCAACACTGAGACTACTTTATGTATATACTAGGATTGAGCAAATAAGTAAAGTGTTCTTTGGAGAAATAATCAATTCCAGGAAATGTATAAGATGAGCCTGAATGTTTTGTGTTGCCAAAGTACTAAAAAATGATGGAGTATGTCAAAATGACACAGGAGCCCTACTGAAGGAGGTCCCAGTGAAATCTGTCTGTACGATTTCACCTGAGTAATTTCATATAGATGCAATCGTAATAATATGTGACCTTTTTCTATTTGGTTTCTTCCATTTAACATAATGTTTCACAGTTCACTCACATTGGAGCATGCGTCAGTACTTCATTTCTTTTTATGACTGAATAATATTCCATTGTATGGATACACTACATTTTGTTTATCTTTCTATCAGTTGATGGACATTTGGGTTGTTTCCACCTTTGGCTATTGTGAATACTGCTGTTAGGAACATGCATATATGTGTCTTTGAATATCTGTCTTCAATATTTTGGGGTAGATACCTAGGAGTAGAATTGCTGGGGTCATATGATAGTTTTATTTAACTTTCTGAGGAGCCACTGAACCATTTTCTCAGTAGTTGTACCATTTTACATTTTTACCAGCAATTTTACATTTTTACCAGCAATGTACAGGATTCCAATTTCTCCACATTCTAAGACTTGTTATTTTCTGTTTTGTTTGTTTACTTATAGCCATCTTAGTGGGTGGATGTGGTATCACATTGTAATTTTGATTTGCATTTACCTAATGATTAATAATGTTGAGCATCTTTTCACATGTTTATTGACAGAGGTTTTATTTTGTACTTTTTTCACCCACCAGTATACCCTGGAAATCACTCCATATCAATGAATAAAGATCTTTCTTATTTCTTTTTGCCGCTGCATAGTACTCCATTTTGTGGATGTACTATAGTGTATTCAACCACCTCCTGTGTAGGGGCATTTAGATTTTTTTCTAACATTTTGCAATTACAAACAATGCTGCTATTAATAACTTGGTGTAAATGCATTTTTTCTTAATTGTTGAAAGTGTGCTTTATGTGGATTCCTGAAAACTAAATTGCTGGGTCAAAAGGTAAGTTCATAAGTGATTTTGTTAGATATTAATGAAGTTAGCAAGGAACAACCGTGGCTCTCTTACTCTAACGATAAATGTAAAAACAAACTCTTTCTACAAGGGCTTGCAGAAGGGAAGCCCAGGAGACACAACCACTTGGTGTTTTGCTTTGAGGGAATAGAAATATGTATACAACTTACCTTTTTCTTTGGTTTCTTATAATAAGATAATGCTATGCTAAGGAAAGTAGCCCTGTCAGCACTCAAACAGATCTTACGTTCCTAAAGGCAGGATTAAATGTTCTGATAGAATGTCATGAGCTCTAGCAGAAGATGAGTCCCATGATTTTTGTGTTTTTAATTTAATCTAATCATGTACCTGTCAGAAAAAAACAGGACGAGCAAGAACACAAGTCATCCCCAAATTACCAGGTATGAGAAGAGGAGGTATACTCAATTTTCAATTTACTTCCGTTTTTCTCTCACAGAAATATTAAAACATATCAGAATGTGCTCTGAGACACCACCTTAGCAGTGGATCTGAACATCCGTATCTCTTTTATACTATTACTATGCTGTTGGAATGTAGTCAGTCAAATTCCACTAAAGAACCTTTATAATTTAATCTTCACCAAAACTCTCCTATACTAGAAGGGCATTCAAGGTCAAGAACCCTGAGGCATCTTAGGAACCACAAGAATAATATTGCCACCACCTAGACCATCATCAAAGAACATTTACTGTGTTCATTCGTTCATTATTATTGCTTACTGCTGTCTTAAGGGGTGTTCAAAGCATTTATCACTTACCATGTGAGTGCCCAATCCAATGTCTATAACATAATGATATTATGGAGTAGTCAATAAGAGGTGGAAGGAATCAATGTATTTCTGCCTCTATCCATTCAAATATTATATTGCAATTTAATGTGCAGTAGTCTAGTTTAAGTCTCCTTGAGGTCAATAAAAAAAGGAAAAGGAAAGGAAAGAGATGGCAGGCCATGTTTCCGACAGATTGGCTAAAAGGGGCCACTTACATCCCCACTCTTAGTTCCTGATTTAATTTGCTCAGGATACAGAAACTCAGAAGAGAGGTAACCACACAGAATGCAGATAAAGCATTCCACAATGCAGACAGAATGCAAAGACGGTACTCAGAGGTCCCTGAATAATGCCTGTCTTTAGATTTCTGGAATGCTGTAAAACCCACACCTCGAGAGGAAAAATGCTGAGATTTTTAAAAAAGTATTCAATAAAAACCACTTAAATTGCCGGGTACGGTGGCTCACACCTGTAATCCCAGCACTTTAAATTGGGTGGATCATCTGAGGTCAGGAGTTCAACACCAGCCTGGCCAACATGGTGAAACCCTCATTTCTACTAAACATACAAAAATTAGCCAGATGTGGTTGTGGGTGCCTGTAATCTCTGCTACTTGGGAGGCTGAGGCAGGAGAATAGCTTGAACCTGG